ATAAACGCCTTTGCAAATTATTTTAAATTTGATAGTTTAGATGATGCAATTGCTGGTGAGATAGATGTATTAATTACATCTACATTTACGTTAACAAACGAAAACTACGAAATAAAAACAATAAAAGTAGTTAGTGATGAAGATGAATATGGTGTAGTGGATAGAGTGAGTGATGTAGGCAAGTCATCTACTCAAGAACATAATGTTGGCGAGTCTTCTACTCAAGAATGCGACAACTATGTATTCCATGCAGATAATAAACTTATAAGATTGATTGATACACCTGGAATAGGTGATACCAGAGGAATCGAATTTGATAAAAAAAATTTTGAAAATATCTTAAAGAATATAAGTCAACATGAATATCTGAACGGAATTTGTATACTCCTTAAGCCTAACGTTTCACGACTGAGCATATTATTCAAATTTTGTATACAAGAATTATTATCACATCTTCATAAAAGTGCTAAGGACAATATTGTCTTCTGCCTTACCAATACAAGAGGAACATTCTTTCGTCCAGGAGACACACTTCCAGTACTACAAAGACAACTCCAAGAACTTAAAGAAAATTTTAATATTGAAATAAAGATTTGTAATGATATAATATATTGTTTTGATAATGAACCATTTAGATTTTTAGCTGCAAAGAAGAAAGGAATCATATTTCCTGATGATCAAAAAAGAAACTTCGTATCTAGTTGGGAAAAATCGTCTCAAGAATCAGTGAGACTCCTTCAATATATTACAAACCGTACACCTCATAAAATAGCTGATACTATATCGCTCAATAATGCTAGACAAACTATAATGATATTTCGTGAACCTCTTGCAGAAATAGATAGAAATATTCAAGAAAATATCGCCGAAATTAGAAAGCTAAAAGTAGAAATTCAAAATGCAGACTTAACTGGCGAGGAACTTAGAAACAAGCTATATTTTCCATATATAAAGCTTAAGATAATACCATTGGATCGACCCAGAGTTGTATGCAAAAATAGCAACTGTCAAGCACAAAAT